TATGTAATCGATTGGAGTATTGATTAATTCATTATAAAATTATAATTTAATGAATAAATATCATTGAAATTTATACTCACGTCCTGTAATTTATGTAATCGATTGGAGTATTGATTAATTCATTATAAAATTATAATTTAATGAATAAATATCATTGAAATTTATACTTACTTCCTGTAATTTATGTAATCGATTGGAGTATTGATTAATTCATTATAAAATTATGATTTAATAAATAAATATCATTGAAATTTATACTCACTAACTATAATATATAGGAGTATTGATAAATTCATTATATAATTATAATTTAATAATTATTATTAAAATACTCACATCCTGTAATTGATTTAAGTGTTGATTAATTTATTATGAAATTGTTATTTATTGAAGATTGTTATTTATTGAAGATTGTTATATTATTTAAAGTTTGCTCACCAACTGATAGTTGATACAATTAAATATCAATTACAATGATACACTGCTTTAGTGAAGGAATAATGTAGAGAATTTATACATACTCTCTAACAAATCATGAAAGTAGATGATTTATTATTGAATCTCGATTTAATAAATAAATATTATTTAAATTTACACCCACATCCTAATAATTCATGTAATAAAAGAATGTATTTATATAATTACTAAATGCAAATGAATTTTACATTTGAATGTGGGCACCTACTAGCCGTAAAAATGAATTTATTTCTTCACTTGTCAATCCTTCTATTTGTTCTTGACTATTAGAAATAACTTTCTTCGGAATCTCAAGTGAATATAATCGTGCTGTATATTCGATCATAGATTTGAATTGGTTACTTGGAGAAGTCAATTCACTCAGAACTTTGATTTCTAAATTACAAGAAAGATATATGATATATGCACGTATTGATATTCCTAATAAGAAATTGGCTTTATTTTTAAAATTTACCTCGAAAATCAGAGAACCTAGATATGCATTCTAAAATTGATATACTGTATATTAATTAATAATATAACTTGTTATTCCTGAATGATTATATATAAAATACCTTCTAATATTTTATTGAGTTTATTGCTAGTTCTCTCTTTATGTTTATTGCTAGTTCTCTCGTTATATAAGACTATATCAAATAAAAATTCCTCTCCTAAATATTTAATTCGTGCTGTGATTAATGATTAAAATCATGATTCAATACCAAATTATTACGTTGCACTCACCAATAGAAGGTTTAATTTCATGTAAAAGGTCGGCCTCATTGTTATTCGCGTTGTAGTTCCGATTGTTTGCAACAATCATAGTAGGAATCTTATAAGTCATATAACTACTATATTCTCGTGATAGTTCGTTTATTCCATTTAATCCCTCAGAGTTTGAAATATCATAGACAAATATAGCACCGTCAATATAACTATAATAACTGTAATATTTATATTATAAAAAACATTATTTTCACAAGAAAATGCATAGTACATTAGAATTATATTAACTAACTTTTTATTTGGTCTGAGATTCCATCCTACAAAAATACAATAAAAAATTAACAGCAATTCTAAAAATTTTACTGTTAATTGGATTTTTAAATATTGACATTTACTGCTTCATGGCATATTAATTATTAGCATTTCGAATAATGATTAAACTAATAACTTATATGCCATAAAATTATAAAATCATACGTAAACTATAAAATTACAACTAATGATGAATATAAACTTGTGAATTCTTTCATCTAGAGATACAAGCAAGTAGAGTCGTTTTGCTTCTCCTTATCGGACTTAGCCCCTTAAAAATAGATTCCACAATTATATAATCAAATAACTATAAAACTGTTCGTTCTAGTCCCTCGATAAATAATAATCAAATAAATTTATTAAAAGAAAAGTGAAATTAAGAACTAAACATTCAAACAAATCAGACTTTTTTAGGGGCTGAGTCCAATAAAGCAACTAATTTACAAGTTTTTCCTTTCCGTCGCTCATGTCAAATCATGATACATTAACTATAAGAATAACTTTATTAATACCTGCTTCCAAAAATTCTACTTTAATATTGTAATTATTAAACGGAATGTACGTTGTTGCGACATATGCGTGCAAAGTATCTTGGTATACACCATTAAAGTTGTCATTCGCAAGCATCGAGACAAGATAAGATTTACCAACGTCCTTTTTACCATCTACACCAACTAGAAATAAAAATACATTAATATAGTTATAAGGTTATGAAAAGTGCGAATGCATCATACTTCTTAAAAAGAAATCATAATTTTCAGTCATCTTTGGAAAATAGCCTGTTGTTTGATCTATTAATTGTATTATTATAATGGCACTTTGGACTGCCTCATTTATATGCCCTTGTTCGCAAATAAAGTTTATAGATACATTGTACGACTTTGTTCAAGCGATATGTTCAACGAAGAAATGCAAACTGCATTCATTACGTACAGTACGTACATACGTAACGTGATATTTATTCTAATTTGACAAGAAATTAAACTTTCATGATTTTCCTTTAATAGTTAGGGCGAGTGCAGTATTTTTATTGTTTATTGTTACTGTATACCAAAATAACGCCCTGGGGCGTTATTTCGGGATAATACGGTAAGGCAAGCTATACAAAATAAGAAAAATCACCATGAACACTACTATCTTAAATGTTAGAGCAGAAATTAAATGATTTCAGAAACATAATTGATAATAGAATTAACAAGCCAGAACTTGATAAGGCGTTGAAACCAAGAGCTTATCACAGAAAAATGTTATGTTTTTGAGTAACATAATGTTTGTACGTATGAGGCAATAATTCTACGTATGCATCAGAAAAATTATACTTGTGAACAGTGTTCGAAATCTGAGACTAAATTAGTGTTCTCATGTTCTATTTAGTATTTTTGGAGTCAATTTTTGAGTGTTCTCAGCTGTTCTCACTCACAAATTTGTGTTCTCATGAGAACTCTGAGAACACTAATTTCGAACACTGCTTGTGAATACAGTTTTATATTTTATTAGGTTTATATGTTTCAATACGTAGAGACTCCCGATTAGTGTTTCTGTACTGTAGAACTGTAAAGCAAGATGATAGATAATCTTAGTTGTGTACATATTTACGTACGCCATGTACGCCATACATAACCCAAAATTGCACTTTCACGCACCTTATTAACGCACACAGGTACTTTATCAACTTCAGACTCGATACATATGTATACATAAAAATTACTATTACTGTACAAACATTTTCATAATTTCAAAACCATGTCTCAATCGAACAATTGGAAAGAAATATATAATAGTGTTTTAAGTGTTTTTAATGCCCCAGAGTTGAAAACAGAGTTAAGGCTGACAGATATAAAGGATATAGAGGTATTTATTTGTATTGAAGTTGATAATTAAATCAGAAATAAACAATACACAAAGTTTATTCGGACTTCATGTTGTTAATATTCGAATAAATTAATGTATTTAAATTTCACAAAATGACAAGCCTTTGGATAAATTAATTGGCTATCGTTTGCATATTGCTTTTAATATTAATTTAAAATCAATTTAATATGAAATTTTTAATATGAAAATTTTCATTCTTATGTTAACCTTTTTTTCAATAAAGATCTCCGGTTGTAATTTATTCTTCGACCTTTACGAACATTTTTCAAATCTTAACATAACACCTAAAACTCGAATCTTACGAATTTATGCTGATGTAGTTCAACTCGCAAATACTTTAGAAATTACATCTTTGAATGGTGGTGGCGCTATTTTGATAGTAGCGAGACGAATTGAAATTGTACCGAAATGTCAACTAATTATTAATTACAACAAATCTTTCCGAATAATAATATATGCTCAAGAAATGACATCTGAACTTGAAATTGTCGCAAAAAATCAACTAAATAATAATGTTAATACATTTAAATTCGATATCGATGATTCAAAAGATAATAAAATCGTTGGAAAATCACTGAATATATTCAGTGACAAGAGCCCCGAATATAAAGATTTATATATATTTGATATAGTTATTCTTAAAAATTATTTATTCCTTAAACTTTTACGATACTCTTTACTTATCGCAAATATCTTATTTTATGATGAACCTACCATTACACGATCAATTCTTTCTTGGATATACAAAATAACTGAATTACAATCTGGAATATCTGAAGAGGAATCATATCAAACGATTTCAGAATTATATCATAAAGCGCTTTCGATGCTAGTACAATTGGATACTTATGAAGAAAGAAGGAAAAATAAATTTTCATTTATTCCATTATTAGATAAACAATTTTATAAAACGGGAGTTGATGAATTTATGAAATATGTAAAATTTTATGAAAACAAATATATGCAAGTTCTAAAGAAAAAAGATGAAATTGACGAAAAGAGAACAGAATCTGAATTGTTACTAGAAAATTCTAACGATAAAACTGCTTTGTACGAACATTTAGAAAAGATTGAATATCAACGTCATGTTTCTGCATCTAACTTGTTGGAAAAAATGGAAAACGAGTTAACAGTATGTTGAATATATATATTTTATGAACTTACAAACTCAAGATAATTAAAATTTTGAGCGATAGATATTATTATATTATTATGTATTGTCATATTCTGATGAAAATTATATTAAAAAATTTTAATAAAATTATATTTTATTAATGGCAGGACAAAAAGAATGAAGTGAACAACGCATGCGAGTATTTTAAAGTCGGAATTGAACAATGGAAGCTACAAAAAATCCATGATGCACAAATAGAAATGTTAAAAGCAGTTATTAATTTAGCCGTACGTGTTGGTACGATTATTATCAGACCTGATGGTATAGTCAACATTATTGAAGCTATAGAAAAGACATCAATTTCAGTTCAAGACGCTCTAAATGCTGCTGATAAAGTGAAAGAATTTGTTAATGATAACAAAGATATAAGTGAAAAAATTGAAGAAATTAAACAAATTGACGAAAATTTACAAACCAATTATAATATCGCTGAAGGTCTGAATAATAATGTGACGACAGAGCAAGAAAAAATAAGTTCTCTGAATGTAGATGAACTTGCAAGAATGTAAGTTAATCCGTAACTAAGATTACTGAAAAAATTCATTTAATAAATTTTGATAAATTTGATAGCCTTAAAGAAGAAGATCGTAAAGGAATAAAAATGAAGGTCGAATGGAAATCAACTGAATATGTAATGATGAAGTTACTTAATTATGTAAGTATACAATCATTAATGTATATATAATATTCTGATAAACAGAATCTTATAATTTTTTATATTTAATGTTAGCCTACTGAGGAAGGAATTGAAGGCGCAGCTGACTATAAAGATTCATTAACAAATTTATTTAATTACATTAACGCATACATTAAAGCAAATAATGAGAAAGAAAAAAGTTTTAAAGAATATTCACGAATTAAATTGCAAGTAAAAATGTTTAAAAGAAAAGAAGAGAGACTCAATAAGAGGATTGAAGATTATAAGTTGAAAAAAGATCAATGTGACGAATACGCATTTTCACTACTGGAGTGCTTTATTAATATTAAATGTTGGATGCTAACATATCTAGAAAATTATAGATGTGCATACAAATATTGGTCTCTTTCTGAATCTGAAGTTATGCTTTCTGCTAAAAAAACTACCGCAAAACACATAAAAGACAATATTAAAATTCGTCAAGAATTAGAAAGCAAATATCATGAATTTGGAGGTCCACCACAAAATTCAGAGCATACATTTCGTCTTCCTAAAAATTATACCAAAAAATTTAAGAGAGATAAATTTATTACCTATGAGATTCCATTAGATTACTTAGAATTTCGGCGGTTTGAACGTGTTCGACTTGTTAATTTCGGAGTATTTTTGAATGGTGTTGGTTCTAGAGATGACGAAATCTCTCTTTATATAAGCAATACAAATATGTTTAGTGATAGATATAAAGGGAAACATTATCATTTTAGGTTAGAATCTGTAAAAGGTCAAGGGTTTAGGTATAGAGTATCAGATAAAAAAATATTACAAAATGTGTCATTTGAATCAGATATATATATTATCCCAACACCATTTAGCCAATGGACAATTAAGCTTGATGAATGCAAAATTGATGAATCTATGGTGGATTCATCTGCAATAAATTTATCTGAATTGATTTCAATTGAAATTAAATTAGATGTAAAGTGTTATCATATTTAAAGTAGCATATGTAATTCTATAATTTTGATTAGAAAATTTTCTAAACAAAGATTATAATAATTTTGTTATGTTGATTTAAATTTTTTAATAATAAAATCATTCCGTTATCTTAATCATTAAGTTTTCGAATCAATTTAATCAAGTATTGTTGAATATAAGAAATTTTGGCTGATAATGGAGTTTTGGCTAAATAGCTTGAACTCAAAATAAAAATAATTATTTATATTGTGCATTTCATATGTTTATTACAATAATTTAAAAATGTTATTCTCGAAATAGCAGACGTGTGCGTTATTTCGAAAATCGCGCCCCTTAAAAATAGATATGTGGATTCAAATAACGATAACACCTTGCGCACATCACTATTATGTATTTTGAAAAAACCCGGGTTCAAAAATAAGGAAGTTAAAGAGTCCGACCCAGATCCGGTTCTTAAAAAGTCTGGGTATAACCAGCAGTTTAATACACAATATAGATAATTTTGAAAACGAAATGCCAAAAGTATTCATGATTTGACTAGTTCAGACTAGTAATGTGCTATTTATATGATACCTTATAGTTGTATAGTGTGTATAACATACGTAATATACACAATGCACGTGGCATTTATAAATAAGAGATATGTAACATTTTGCAAGGAACAATTTTGTTAGAGTGCGAAAGACAGTTTCATAGTCAAAATTTTGAGATAGGGATATTTTCATATTTTGTTCTAGAATATTCTAAAAAATTTTTTGCGTACAGTACCGTACGCGGCACATCACTAGTTCAGACCGGCCCTAAAACATTCGGTCCTAAACCCGGTCCAAATCAGTCTCTTTTGGGCTACTTAACATCCCTATTCAGAAAATCTGCTGGCATATTTGAAATAACGCTGATGGGCATATTCAAAATAGCGTGCAGCTATTCAAAATAGTGTGTAGATGCCCACTCTTTGAGAATTTACGGTGCATTATTCTTTAAAAAATACTTAAATTTGAAATAATCTACTACAGAGAGACCTCTCTAAGTGCACCCTCTATAAATGCACACTTTATGTAAAATCTCTTTAAATGCACGGTATAATCTAGTCCCAGCTTATAATTGCACTATATATTTTTCCCTCCATAATGCACACCCTCTCTAAGTGCACATTTTTAGGATTTTTCACTATACCCCGAGGCAGTGTTGTCATGGGACACGAACACAGACTGCGGACAGTCCGGGACGGGACGTCCGGGACATGTCTGCCCAGAATTTTTTTTGTCCCGGACATTTGGATAGCATTCCCACAAACAATTGCTCACCTCATGATTCTTGGCAATCAAATTTCAAGATCAGGTGTGACATATACAATTGAGCGAACCACATTTTTGCAAAAAACAGAAATAAATTAAGAAATCACTTGCAGCCTAATTAAAAATGCTTCTTGTAAACTTTACTACTAAGCACGAAGTTTATTTGTGGTAAAATTACAGGGGTGACCAATTTTTTGTGGAATCACTACCTAAAATTAATCTAAACCAAGGGGTCTGTATAATTTCACAATTTGATTGGTTTTACCTAGGGATGGAACACTGCATAGGCGGAAAAATTCAGAAGCCTGAAAATTTCTGGAATGCGTCAGAATTTAAGAATTTTGGCCTGCATTAGCTTTAATGCAGGCCCGTGCAGCCTGCGCAGTAGTTTTGAAAATTTCTCGATTTTCCTATCTCTAGTTTTACCTGGCGAACATGTCCCAGACATAGTAGAGACAAAGTTAAAAATTAACGGGACATTGTCCGTGTACAATATTATGTCAGGACGTTATCACGGATATGTCTTGGACGTCCCGTCCCGGACTGTCCATGTCCTTGTAAAATTGGCAGGACAATGTCCGTGTACAATACTGCCCCGAGGGGGTGCATTTAGAGAGTCTCTCTGTATTTATGGTTTTGTTTTTTTGTGCAACATTATTTTGCTAAAAAAATTAAAATAACATTAGTCTTTAAAATTATTATCTCTAACAAAATTTAAATAGTACTCAAATGCTTTTTTAAGCTTTAATTGTGTTTATTATAATGATAACAGTAGCTTAGATTTACATGTTCAAGAAAATTATTAATTTTATTTTAACCTTTTTTTATTTTCCAGAATTTAAACTATTAAATTTAACAATTTCAGTACAATAATAATTTAGTAAAGATATAAATATTTATTATTTTTTTGGTACTTTGTTTTTAATAACGTTGTTTTTAACTTTAACAGTAATCTGTAGCTTATCAAATTAGTGTTACAGATAAGCTACAGAATTACAGAAAGATTACCATATTTGGGGGGTCCTTAAAGCCCGGCAGAAGTTAGGGTTACTTTTTTGATTCAGTTAGAGTTAGCGGTTTATTAAAATATCAAGAACGCAAGTTATGCAATATGTAGATCAATATGTAAATCTGCCCCGCTTTAAGGGACCCCCATATTTGGAAGGACCTAAAATTCTCTCCTTAGACGGCGACATTTGATCTTCCGGGTACTTTATTTACAAACTCCGATTGGATGTTTATCAAACATCCGATGCTTTAATTGGTTAAAAATCACGAGTTTTAGGGAAAAATGCCGACGGCGACTTTTAACCGGATAAAACTTGCCGACGGCGACTTTTGACTCATCACGTGTGCAAATTTTAATATTAAATTAATTCATTTTATTGGATAGTTCGGATCTTTTGCCGACGGCGACTTTTGCCTTTTCAGAAATTTGCTTTTCGGAGTTTTGCATTTTGACGGCTTTCTAAAAAAAGGAATTTAAAAACAGTTTTTGGAGTCGTTTCAACGATTCTTTAGTACTTCGTGAGTTTTATGAAAGAATCTAAATTATAACTTGAATAAAGTTAAATAAAGTATTTCTGAAATCCTTTAATTCATTAATAATGTTAGTACGTACGTAATAAAGTTTATTTCGAATTAGAATTAATTAACCTTTAACTATTTCCGTTTAGTGTGAATTTTTTGTTAGTAAACGTCGTTATGTTCTCAAAATATAAGTTACCCGGTCAACAATAACAATAATCCACATACCTACCTTTGCGCTACTGGAAAATAACTTTTTATCGTACGTATATTATGTACGAGGGCCAGATCACAATTGGTCAAATTATTCACATGCAAAAGTTTTTATTTTTATTAAAATAAAATTAAAATAAAATATTATCTGATCACGATCGACCATGGTAAACATCTAATTGCTGTAATGATTTTTGTCGTTAAATGGGGTCCCTTCGTTTTCCGATTTCAAAATTTGATACATAAATAAACTCCCATTTTATTTCCGAAACCCTTAGTATGTACGTTCAGATATTTACAGTCTTGGACTCCCATTTTATTTCCGAAACCCTTAGTATGTACGTTCAGATATTTACAGTCTTGGACTCCCATTTTATTTCCGAAACCCTTAGTATGTACGTACAACTTTTGAAAATTAGAACACTCTCCCATTAATCCTTCATAATGAATGATAATAAAATCGAATCCGGATCTGAATCATCTATTAATAATGATTATTCTTTAATAAATACTGAAACTTGGACAGATGATAACAGTAAACGGTTTCGACCACAAGCAAATCATACTGTGCCTCCGAAAAAAAAGAAAACCGCTCATACAAGTGTTTATGTTAGTCGAATTATTAATAAAGAATCATATCCTCCAACCTCTTCACCAGTAACATCAAAGTCAAAAATATATGATCCATTTGAATGGAAAACTTTAAATCAATCACTGTTAAATTCAAAAAGACAACATAAAATTGACCAAGACTGGGCAGATGTTTATAGTAAATTCTTTCAATTCAAACTGATATATGATGATGTGAAAAAAAAAACTTATGATTATGAAAAGCAAAAAGATAATGAAATAAATAAATTGATCAAACAATCTATTCCCGATAGATGTACCACATAAATATCACGTTGGAGGAAGGCTTTCAACTTGGTTGTGCTTGTAATAGAAAACAAAAAGATTAGTTTTGAAGATTTTCTTGAAGAAATAAGAGATTTGAACATTATATTTAATTATCTTCAAGAAGTTGATCCAGCGGATTTTATGACTTTGCTTGATAAAATAGTAGAAAATTATGAGCCAAAAATGAGAATTCAATAAAGTGAGTATCTTTAATTTAAGTGCAAACTCGAATTATTTTTGGCAATATAAAATTAAATTTAATTCATTTATTATTTAATTCTTTTTTAGATCATTTAATATGACTAATTTTTACATATAATTATGTTAAAATTATGAATTGTTTTAGTGAATTGTTATAATGAATAATTATGTTAAATTTTAAATTGATTCGTAAACTTAAGATTTAAATTTAATTGAAAACTTTTTAAATTTAAAATGTGAATCGTTGTAAATTTGAATATAATATGAAACCAAAAAAAAAAATTTATGTGAAACGTACTAAATTAATTAATAAATCCATTTAATATATGAAAACTGATATTTATTTTTACATTCCCTAAAGTTTATTAACTCTAAATAAATTATAGCTTTTCGAGATACAGTATTGTACATGTAATTTTTTCGAAGCACCCTAAAGTTTCACAATTGACTGCAATTAGAAGCAAACAAGATATCTCTTGATTTTGTCAACTGACAATTAGGAAAAGAACTCTGTTAGCATAATAGTAAAAAGGATTGCTAGGACACACCCTTTGTCAACTGACTTAACACCCCTAAAGTTTCACAATAGTAAATAGCAGAACTTGTTTATCGTAATAAGAAACAAAATATCTCAAGAAAAAAAAGCAAAGATAACTTTCTTTGTCAACTGACTAAAGTTTCACAATAGTAAATAGCAGAACTTGATTATCGAAGATTACTGTAATAAGAAACAAGATATACCAGGAAAATAAAATTTTATTACTGCAATCAGAAGCAAGATAACTTATTTGTCAACTGACTAAAGTTTCATAATAGTAAATGATTGATGCTAAGCAAGATACCTCTACCCTTTGTCAACTGACTTAACGCCCCTAAAGTTTCACAATAGTAAATAGCAAGCTTAATTATCGAATAAGAAACAGGATATCTCAAGAAAATAAAATTTTATTGGTTCATATTACTGAGATTACTCTTTGTCAACTGACTTAACGCCCCTAAACTTTCACAACAGTAAATAGCAAAACTTGCTTATTGTAATAAGAAACAAAATATCACAGGAAACAAAAGCAAGATAACGCCCCTAAAGTTTCACAACAGTAAATAATTGATGCATTTAAAGACTTAACTCAAACAATAGTAAATAGCAGAGCTTGATTATCGAAGGTTACTGTAATAAGAAACGAGATATCTCGGGAAAATAAAATTTTATTGGTTCATATTACTGAGATAACTCTTTGTCAACTGGCTTAACGCCCCTAAAGTTTCACAACAGTAAATAATTGATGCATTTAAAGCAAGATAACCTTACCCCTTTGT